GACTGAATCACTTCTTCAGAGAAAAGGAGAACAGGACGAAGAAATGAAGCCCAGGCAGGCAAGAAAGAAACAGTAGAATCTTCAGTAGGAAGGGTCCTGAAACAGGAACAACTGGGGCTGGGGTTGTGAAGAAATGAAGGGGAAGGGACTGCAGTAAGGAGAGGCTCTGGATCTGGCAAGAGGCCTATTTGGACAGGAGAGGGTACCAAACTTCCAGTTGGATTCAAAGCAGTTCCACCTTGACGGAAGACACATTGTGAATAAGGAGGCAAGTGAGCAATATCCTCTGCAGAAGGGAGGGAATGTCCAATTTCTTTGATCAAGAGCGCCTCAATAGTATCAAGAAACCATCACCGAGAGTTCAACACATGGAATCCACATTAAATGTGAAATGAGAGGTTGTCAGATTAAGTAGATATGTCAGACTGGCAAGGACAAATTATTATACTCACAGGAAGTGATATATGCAGAGGGGTCATACAGTGCCAATGTGTGATACAATAACTATATTAAACGATAAAAATACTAAGTCTATATTGGTCATATAGTGCTGTTGTGTGGTGATGTGTAAGGGTAATGTACTCATCCCTCTCCTTCATGCAGAAGGATGAGCATCAAAAGTATGAGATTTGGATGTTGATGAAGTTAACATTGTCAGAGTCAAAGTCGACTAGTATATTTATGAAAGTTAAGACACTTGTGCAACATCTGGTTATCTTTATTGTAGATGTTTCGCCATCCAGTGGCTTTATCAATACAGATTCTTTGGACATAATAAGAAAACTGAAGAACTACACATATATACAAAAGATGAGGTAATCAGTCCCTCAGCCTTGGAGGTGGTGTTTAGAGCAACGTGGTCGTAGAGATTCTGAAGCAGAGGCAAGGAGACTGGCGCTTATATAGGCGTCAGTGAGTAGGGACGTGTAGCAGACGAGGGCATAGTCACTGGTAGGCAGGATTCCCCAGTGGAAGTAGGTCCTTCCCAAAATGATGGGTTAGTTGTAGTAGCCATATATTTATGTTTTGGTTTGGTTGAGGTAATGAACAAGCACACTTCCAGTTTTGTACAGGGATATTCCTGTCTTGGAATATTTTGCAGTAATCTCTTGACAACTTCAAAACCATTGGCAACAGTGGTGGTCCAAGTTGGTCCATAATAAATTGCTTTCTACCAAACCATGCTCGAGTTTCTGGCCATCTTACTACCACTATCATATTTGGGAGACTGCACTCTCCCACCTATGTATTGACCACACATCTAGCTCACAGAAAAACACCTGGCTCCAATCTGAGAGATTGTCTTGTGTATCAGGGGGCATGCAGAATTTGCTTCAAACGTCTCCAGTACCCCAACATATTTACTGCACCTGATTTCCTTGCTGAAAGTCCCAGTTTTATTATTATTACAATCAAAACTAAATGATAAACCCACAAGGGTCATACTGCAGTCCCAGTTTTGACAAAGACTCTCTGACTTCTAAGAAAAATAAACTTATTGTGCCAGCTATTTCACCTATAGCATTCTCCACTAACACTTACTCTTGCACACTTTCTGCCTGACCTCTGTATATTCCTTCTTTAGCACATCCTACCCTGCTGTGCTGGGCTTTGGGCTTGCATGGTGGTATGCATATGAGAAAAAGTCGCAGGATTTGTATGCCTTTAGATTCGTAGGATACTTCTGGCATTAGAGAACTTGCCAGATGGCCACCCAATGCTGCACCACAGGGCCACCTAATATGTACCCTAAGATGATCCAATTTCCATCAGGCAAATTGACCCAATCACTACAGCACAACCTATGGTAACTATAACAGAACAGGGCCAAAAGTGATTCTTTTCATTCTATCTAGTAGCTTAATTTTGTAAGAGGGAAAGTATCCCCTAGTAACGAGGTCAAAAGGAGAGAGGTGGGAAATGCTGTATTTTAGATTTGAGCTGAGGAAAGATGAGAAGAGGTCCAGTTCCAAAGATCAAGAGCCCCTTGGCTACAGTAAAGTTTGCCCCACTTGAAAGGAATACAGTGAACAGGGTAACTATATTCCTTAGATTAAGAGCCTTTCAGTAACATCAAGGTGCCGCTTTCCAACCATTGGAAACCACAGAGAAATTAACATCAGCAGCATATGCTATGCTTATAAGTATAAGACTAACATTCAAGAACCTTGACAGACTCGCTTAGGACATATTATCTCATATGAGAAATCCATTCATGAAAATACACATGTGTGAAATATTCACCTAGTCAACATTTGAGAGTTCAGAGGAAAGCTTCCAGATAAATTTCAAAGCTTAGGATACGGAGTTGTATGGAAAGAATGAGAGCTGGATCTCCTGTCTCTGTTGGAATGAAGAGAGAACACTGATCATGACATTCAAAATACTTCATATTTTAAAAAAAGAAAATTTTTTTTAGGAGAACAAACCTGGTAGAACAAAAAGGGCATGGGTGGAAGCTACATACCCAACAAAGCCATCCATTTTTTTTTATCATAAGAACAATAATGAAGTGGACTGAACTAAACAGTACAAGCAGAGTCTATACAAGAGTTCAAAACTAAATACTTCCAAACTAATTAGACATACAATAAAACTTATATCGTAATACATAAAATAAGGAATCATACCTGAAGATTCTATTTTGAAATCTTAATTTCTTAGATAATGCAAATGCTGATATCTGAGAATATAGTGATAATGCAAATGCTGACATCTAAGAATATAGTGATAATGCAAGTGCTGATACCCGAGAATATAGTGATAACGCAAGTGCTGATATCTGAGAATATAGTGATAATGCAAATGCTGATATCTGAGAATACAGCGATAATGCAAATGCTGATATCTGAGAATATAGTAATAGTGCAAATACTGATATCTGAGAATATAGTAATAATGCAAATACTGATAACTGAGAATATAGTGATAAGACAAATAATAATATCTGAGAATTCAGTAGGGCCCCACTTATACGGCGGGTTAGGTTCCAGGCTATCGCCGGAAAGCAGACATCGCCGGAAGGCAGAACGCCATTTTTTCCATTTATAAATGCACATAAATGCCAGACAAGTTTACACTAAATTATATTAAGTTAGTAATAGAACTAGGCATTAAAAACACACAAAGTAAAATACATTCACAGTACATTCATTACTTATCTTAAAGTACATTTTTGTAATCTTAATGTAGGGAGAGAGGTGAGTAGTACTTATTTGTAGGAAGTCAGGTGTAGGTAACCCTGGCTCCCCGTCTCATACTTATTATACAATATTTAAAACATCCCAGAGAGTTGAAATACACATACAGAGAGTTAAAATACACATAGGAAGAGAGGCGAGTAGTATTTTTTTGTAGGAAGTCAGTGTAGGTAGCTGGTAGGTATAGCCCGCCTGGGCTACACCTACCGGCTACCTACACTGTGGCCCATAGCCATATTATTAGCATCAATATACCTTGTTCACTGAATTTAATCGTTTCTAACAACTGCCTTTAGATGCCATCATAAACGAAGGGAAAGGTAATAAATAATTCATGCCGAAAACTGTAAACAAAAGCGGAGTGGGGGAGTGGCTGGGCCAAACGCAGATTCATACATGTTTTCTCTGATGGCTGAGCAGTGAAAATGTAATGTTATCCCTCCTCCCAGAGGTAAGATACACACAGAGTACACTTATTACTTACCTTAAAATATTAATATTAATGTGTGAGAGGTAAGTGGCAGGGTGTTTATTGAATAAAATCAGAATGGCACACTATCATCCTCTAACTTGGCACTTAAAGCAAGAGGCTTACGACTCCTCTTTTTATCACAGCTAAGCATAGATGCCATCGTCAGTGAGAGCCAACTAGTTAACGAAAGAGTAAAGGAGAGAGAGAACGAGATAGAGTTCAGACAATGTAAGAACACAAACTGAACAGGTAGTGGGCGGTCACTTTGTCAGGCGAAATAAATGCATATTAATATGTGTCTGCTTTTAGTTCATTCACATATGTTTGTAAGAATTTGTAAAACTTTTACCTCAATATTTTTTGATTATAATAATAATTACCTCACAATACAAATACTCTTACATTGTATACAAGTTGTACAAGTTAGTACAGAATAAACAAACAACAACACTCCCATTCTCATGCACCACACCATTTTTAGAGTGATGATGATGATATTATCATCATCATCATCATAATAAAAAATCTCTAAACTCACAAGGGTCGTGAATTGCTATATATAGAGTGAAGGCATACGACAGGAATATTTTTCTACAGGTATCCCCCAGTGTTTGACTAGAGAAAACGTAATTCTTCCAACACTACCTACACAGCTGCTTTGTAAACAAATCTCATATTTACGTCAATTTTTATTCTGTGAATGTGTGTATCATGTCTATATGCTATGTAACGTGTTTCTTAAATAATTTTGAGGAAAATATCATAGATAGATTAATGAAAATGTTTATATTAATGTAAATTAAGACATTTAATGTGCTCAAGAGTGACGATTATTATGTACTATTGGCGTCATGAGTAGAGAGAGAATTAGTGATTTTAATGTGTACCTGCACACCAGCACAGTGTGTAAGTATATTTAGGTACAGGTACACATAAGTATAATTATTAGAGTGTATATAAAATACGCAATAACTATAAAACACTTGAAATCCTGGAAAGTTTCCAGACATAATCGATGTGGTCACGGAGGATGTCAACAAACCGGGTGGGGCGCGCCGTATTTCAAAGACCGCTTGCCGTACAGCAAATTTTGGTCATAATTTGACATTGCCGTATTAGCAGAACGCCGTAAGGCAAAACGCCGTAAAGCGGGGCCCTACTGTATACTATTTCACTGTATACTATTACTGTATACTATTACTGCTTCAAAGGCAAGTCAGAGGTACATCAGCTTACATGATAGTCTTCTTAAGGTGTAAAGTTGTAGCCACCATTTCTAAACTTACATACTCCTTATGATAGAAGGGATAAAAATATTAAATACAATATTACAAAAACTACTTTATTAATGAATTTTCTATCAGTACAAATGTAACAAAATTACAACAGGTTTCAATTAATTATGTTAATAACTTCCACATACTGTACAAGGTAACAACTAAATTAAAATAATTTGTACATCAGTTGCTTCATACGCATTAAAGTACGCATATACATCAGAGAAAAACGATGTATATACAAATAATTTATCATACCAAAATAGTATGGTAAGAAGTTTATACTATATGTATAAGAATGTATTCATGTATAAGATTGTATGCATCCATAAGAATATATGTATGTATGTATAAGAATGTACGTATGTTTAAATATTAGGGTGGCTCATAAATATACATAAAAAAATTACAACAAACCACTCCACAAGGCTGCCTGCATTCCACCTTAAAATAAGTCTTGTGTAACAAAATTTAGATCAGAAAATGTTTATAACTTTAGTGGGCGAGGTTATCTGGTTAATTTCAACAATGTTGGATGGCACATTACTGCGAGGTGTAAAATATATATTTACTTATAGGTTTTACTTCTAGTTTATTATACACAAATTAGACTTATGCACAATGAAGGTTCTAAATTCACTAGAGGGAAGGCTGGCAGCACATTGCAGTAATTTTTATTTTAAATGGTATTGCAAGGCAAATACTTCTTACATTTATTAACAGTGTTGGTCATCCACCAAACTAGGGTGATCAGAAAAAAAAAGTAAAGTCGCCATCATTCATTTAATAGCTGCCTTGCCAGAAGTGCACTGATATCACAATTCAAACAATCCTCCAAATTGCAACATTCCCACCTCTCAGAGTGCAGATGCTGTGTTTCTCACCTCTATGACTTAAGTCTGGCTAACCAGCTTCCCTTCACCCTTACATAAACGTTATCTTGTTCACACTCCAATAGCACATCAAACCATGAAAAACTGCTTGTCCACACACTGTTCTAACATGATCACATAAGCCTACTGGATGCTCAAACCCCTAGAACTCAAAACCTTAAACCATTTCCTTAAACCTTTCCTAGGATGACTTCTATCCTTCCTTACACCCTATTACTTCAATCATGCTATACCATCTCTAGATGCCCAAACCATCTCAAGAACCCCTTCTCAGCCCTATGAATTATACCTTTGGTAAACCCACACCATCTTCTAACTTTTATACTCCAAATTATTTGCATAATATTCACACCACACATTGCCCTGAAATTTGACATCACTACCTCTAGCCTCTTCCTAACAGCAATGTTTAAAACCCATACCTTACACCCATATATATAAGAGATGGTACTAGTATAATCTGGTACATTACCCTATTGCCTCCATAGATAAGTTATGTTTCTAATATTACATTTATGTGAATGCAAATTCTGAAATTAGTTTTAAGTCATCTATGTAGGAAAATACAAGTACAGGAGGACCCTACTTATACAGCAGGTCAGGTTCCAGGCTACCGCCATAAAGCAAATCACCCTTTTTTCACTTTTAAATGCATATAAATGTCTGATAACATGTTTATAGTGTCATATATTAAGTTAGCAATAGAACCAGGCATAAAAAAACAATAAAAAAGTAAAATGCACATACAGTACATTTATTACTTACCTTAAAATATTTATAGTCTTAAAGTAAGTTAACAAGTAGCACCAACACTTACATGGGTGTAAGGAATGGATTTTAAACTTTGCTGCATGGAGGCTTAAGGCAGTGGAGATGTTATGTTTGAGAACAATGATTAGTGGGAATATTATGTAGAGAATTCAGAAAGTAAAATTTAGAAGATTGACTGAGGTTAGAACATAAGGAAGAGTGCTGCAACAGGCATATTGACCCATGTTAGGCAGGTTCAACTCACATACACTTATATACTTGTCTAATCTGTTTTTAACCCTTAAACTGTCCAAACGCAGATCTACGTTCACGTGTGTAGTGCTCCGAACATAGATCTACGTTTTATTTTACATGCTTTCAAATGTAAAAAAAAAAGTAAATTATGTTTGGACAGTTTAAGGGTTAAAGCTACCCAATGATGCTACTCGGTAGTTTCTTCCACTCATTTGCAACTCCATTACCAAACCAATGCTTTCTTGCATCCTTTCTAAATCTACATATTTTTAACTGAAGCCAACTGCTGAGTCCTGTCTTAGATATTTTCAGCACATTATGTATATCCCTTTCACTTATTCCTGTCTTCCATATATAGTCTTCAATCATATCTACCCCTAACTCTATGCCTTTCCAGAGAGTGGAGACAAATGGTATACAATGCAGACACCGTGAAGAAAAAAAAAAAGACAAATGCGGTAATTCGAAAGACTGAAGAAAGACTGGTGAAGTGAGGAAGATATTTAAAGGGTAAAGAGCAGAATAGGATGAATCAGAGGGTGTATGAATCTGGGATGGAAGGAAGAAGGTGTAGGCAGGCAATGTCTCAAGAATGAGTGGAGGGGGGAGGGGATAAAGAGTTTTGAGTCCTGGGAGCTTAAGAATCTAAGAGTCTCGTGTGACAATGTTAAGACTGGATTATGTGGAGAAAAGTTGTTTTTATGACTTGATGTACTGTTAGAATGTAAGCAAAGTACAGTGGACCCCCGCCTTACGATGGCATCGCGTTACGTTAAATTCGCCATACGATACATTTGAACGCAAAAATTTTGCCTCGCCTCGCGCGATTCGTCCAGGACGCATCCCACGTGTGGCCTCAGCGCCAGTGTTTACAAGCCAGCCAGTGCGGTCATATCCACGCACACATTCGGTACATTTCACCTTATCCCAGTGTTTTTTGTGCTTGTAACTGCAAAATAAGTCACCATGGGCCCCAAGAAAGCTTCTAGTGCCAACCCTGTGGTAAAAAGGGTGAGAATTAGCATGGAAATTAAGAAAGATTTTGAAGGGTTTGAGGCTAAAACTGAAGCCTATGCCAGTTGTGGAATCCATGGTGCCTACTTCAAAGATTAACCCTTTGACTTTTTCGGTCGTATATATACGTCTTACGAGGTACCGTGTTTGACGTACATATACTCAAATTCTAGCAGCTTCAAATCAAGCAGGAGAAAGCTGGTAGGCCCACATGTGAGAGAATGGGTCTGTGTGGTTAGTGTGCACCATAAAAAAAAATCCTGGAGCAGGCAGTGCCAACTTTGTGGTCTATTTTCATATAGCATTTATGGTTGTATTCTCGTTTTCTTGGTCTCGTTTGACAGAATGGAAAACATATTATAGAAATAGAGGTGATTTTGATTGATTTTACTATAAAAAGAACCTGGAAATGGAACTCAAAGTAGGGGAAATGTTTGATTTTTACAGATGTTCAAAAGTAAACAAATGATGTCATTGTCCAATAAATGTCCAACTAGCCATTCTAATATGCAGTCATGAATGGGTTGATGTTATTTATACAATTATTACAGTATTGCAGTAGTCTGCATAACAGTAAATTTCCAATTTTCTTGTTTGAATAAAAATTCAAAATAGAAAGCAAGAGTAATATCAGAGGGGCCTGGAGACGTGACTGATGAACAGAGAAAATGTTATTTTAGAGCCAGGAATGTCTGCATTGTTCATTCTGGACCCTATTTTGAAATTGTCATATTTTTTAATTTTCGTGAAATTGGTCACATTGCAAATTTCTGACCATGTTATTGGGTAGTTGAAATTGGTAAATGGGCAGTTTCTTGTACTCAATCGATAGAAAAAACTGAGTTCTAAAGAAATAGCTATGAGTTTGGTCGACTGGAACAATGGAATTAGCCCAAAGTGGGCGAAATCGCCGATTTGTAAATATCGCCGAGGTCGCTAACTTTGCGAGAGCGTAATTCCATCAGTTTTCCATCAAATTTTGTTTTTTTTTTGGTGTCATTACAATCGGGAAAAGATTCTCTATCATTTCATAAGAAAATTTTTTTTTTTTTATTTTGAAATTTTGCGACACCAGGAGACACCTCAGGATTGGGGGTTGCAACAGTCAAGGGGTTAAGGAAATGTGTGCAAAGTGGGTTGAGCTGCAAACCTTTATGAATGAAAAGCACCCTAACACAGCTATTGCAAGCTGTGCTGGTGACTATTACAATGACAATGTTGTGGCCCATTTTAGGCAAATCTTAAAGGAACGGGAGGTACAGAGCTCTATGGACAGATTTGTTGTGCGACAGAGGTCCAGTGACCCTCAAGCTGGTCCTAATGGCATTAAAAGAAGAAGGGAAGTAAGCCCGGAAAAGGACTTGCTACCTCAAATCCTAATGGAAGGGGATTCCCCTTTAAACAATAACTTCCATACTCTTCCCTCCTCCCATCCCATCAATCATCATCAGATCTTCAATAAAGGTAAGTGTCATGTATTCTATTCTTAGTAGAGTAGTAATTGTGCATGTCTTCTTCAGTTTGTGTATATTAAAATTAATATTTCATGCGGTAAAATTTTTTTTTTTTTTTATACTTTGGGGTGTCTTGCACGGATTAATTTGATTTCCATTATTTCTTACGGGGAAAATTAATTCGCCTTACGATAATTTCGGCTTACACTGAGCTCTCAGGAATGGATTAATATTGTAAGGTGGGGGTCCACTGTAATGTTTATGAAGTGATTAAAGGGAAACAAGGTAGACTGAGTCCTGGACATGGAAGTACATTGCCAGCACTCTAAAGAAGAGGGTAGGGATGCTGACATTTGGAGTCATCTGAAGTGTAATGTCTGTGCACCTCCTATGAAACCAGTTATTTAATGAATGGATCACCTTACCTTGGTGGGAAATAGCCAGTGTGTTAAAAATAAATATACAAATTAAATGATGTATAATTGGGAAAAAAAAAAATAGTGCTCTATTCAGGGCAATGACTAATGTAAAAATATTTATTTTCATTGGCCTAGGATACTCTCCAATGTCTTTGAACACTAGCCTCTTTGTTAAACCACATGTGGCTGACTACTGGGCTGAGGTAGCAATTTTTCTGTAATCGCCAGAATATGTAACATTTCAAAATGTCGACAAGACCGCTGGATGAAGTTAAAATAGTCGAATAACCCAATGATCTAATGAATATGCATGTGTATGTACATTGTATACATGTGTATCTATACCTTTTATTGCTGTGCCACTCTATCCCAACGCCAGATTGTAGCATCATCACAGACTGTGATCAAAATGTTTCCCTTTCGTGAAAAGGCAGTTTGTCTAATAGGCGCAACACATTTTGGATGAGTAAGAGTTGAACAGCGTGCTTGGGCTGGATCAGAAATGTCCAGATCCCAAACGTATGTGCGACCTTGTTGGTTACCAACTGCCAAAACCTGCAACATATCAATATGTAACCAATTAATAAAATATAGACTTATTTTCAGTTTATATCTAAATTAAATTATACATACACTTAGGAAGGGATTAAAACATAAATAAAAATAACATTTCTGTTTATTTTTTTGTTTTTTATTATCACACTGGCCGATTCCCACCAAGGCAGGGTGGCCCGAAAAAGAAAAACTTTCACCATCATTCACTCCATCACTGTCTTGCCAGAAGGGTGCTTTACACTACAGTTTTTAAACTGCAACATTAACACCCCTCCTTCAGAGTGCAGGCACTGTACTTCCCATCTCCAGGACTCAAGTCCGGCCTGCCGGTTTCCCTGAACCCCTTCATAAATGTTACTTTGCTCACACTCCAACAGCACGTCAAGTATTAAAAACCATTCGTCTCCAATCACTCCTATCAAACACGCTCACGCACGCCTGCTGGAAGTCCAAGCCCCTCGCACACAAAACCTCCTTTACCCCCTCCCTCCAACCTTTCCTAGACTGACCCCTACCCCGCCTTCCTTCCACTACAGACTGATACACTCTTGAAGTCATTCTGTTTCGCTCCATTCTCTCTACATGTTCGAACCACCTCAACAACCCTTCCTCAGCCCTCTGGACAACAGTTTTGGTAATCCCACACCTCCTCCTAACTTCCAAACTACGAATTCTCTGCATTATATTCACACCACACATTGCCCTCAGACATGACATCTCCACTGCCTCCAGCCTTCTCCTCGCTGCAACATTCATCACCCATGCTTCACACCCATGTAAGAGTGTTGGTAAAACAATACTCTCATACATTCCCCTCTTTGCCTCCAAGGACAAAGTTCCTTGTCTCCACAGTCTCCTAAGTGCACCACTCACCCTTTTCCCCTCATCAATTCTATGATTCACCTCATCCTTCATAGACCCATCCGCTGACACGTCCACTCCCAAATATCTGAATACATTCACCTCCTCCATACTCTCTCCCTCCAATCTGATATCCAATCTTTCATCACCTAATATTTTTGTTATCCTCATAACCTTACTCTTTCCTGTATTCACTTTTAATTTTCTTCTTTTGCACACACTACCAAATTCATCCACCAATCTCTGCAACTTCTCTTCAGAATCTCCCAAGAGCACAGTGTCATCAGCAAAGAGCAACTGTGACAACTCCCACTTTATGTGTGATTCCTTATCTTTTAACTCCACGCCTCTTGTCAAGACCCTCGCATTTACTTCTCTTACAACCCCATCCACAAATATATTAAACAACCACGGTGACATCACACATCCCTGTCTAAGGCCTACTTTTACTGGGAAACAATTTCCCTCTTTCCTATGTACTCTAACTTGAGCCTCACTATCCTCGTAAAAACTCTTCACTGCTTTCAGTAACCTACCTCCTACACCATACACCTGCAACATCTGCCACATTGCCCCCCTATCCACCCTGTCATACGCATTTTCCAAATCCATAAATGCCACAAAGACCTCTTTAGCCTTATCTAAATACTGTTCACTTATATGTTTCACTGTAAACACCTGGTCCACACACCCCCTACCTTTCCTAAAGCCTCCTTGTTCATCTGCTATCCTATTCTCAGTCTTACTTTTAATTCTTTCAATAATAACTCTACCATACACTTTACCAGGTATACTCAACAGACTTATCCCCCTATAATTTTTGCACTCTCTTTTGTCCCCTTTGCCTTTATACAAAGGAACTATGCATGCTCTCTGCCAATCCCTAGGTACCTTACCCTCTTCCATACATTTATTAAATAATTGCACCAACCACTCCAAAACTATAGCCCCACCTGCTTTTAACATTTCTATCTTTATCCCATCAATCCCGGCTGCCTTACCCCCTTTCATTTTACCTACTGCCTCACGAACTTCCCCCACACTCACAACTGGCTCTTCCTCACTCCTACAAGATGTTATTCCTCCTTGCCCTATACACGAAATCACAGCTTCCCTATCTTCATCAACATTTAACAATTCCTCAAAATATTCCCTCCATCTTCCCAATACCTCTAACTCTCCATTTAATAACTCTCCTCTCCTATTTTTAACTGACAAATCCATTTGTTCTCTAGGCTTCCTTAACTTGTTAATCTCACTCCAAAACTTTTTCTTATTTTCAACAAAATTTGTTGATAACATCTCACCCACTCTCTCATTTGCTCTCTTTTTACATTGCTTCACCACTCTCTTAACCTCTCTCTTTTTCTCCATATACTCTTCCCTCCTTGCATCACTTCTACTTTGTAAAAACTTCTCATATGCTAACTTTTTTCCCTTACTACTCTCTTTACATCATCATTCCACCAATCGCTCCTCTTCCCTCCCGCACCCACTTTCCTGTAACCACAAACTTCTGCTGAACACTCTAACACTACATTTTTAAACCTACCCCATTGCCTATGCTCTCATTAGCCCATCTATCCTCCAATAGCTGTTTATATCTTTCCCTAAGTGCCTTCTCTTTTAGTTTATAAACCTTCACCTCTCTCTTCCCTGATGCTTCTATTCTCCTTGTATCCCATCTACCTTTTACTCTTAGTGTAGCTACAACTAGAAAGTGATCTGATATATCTGTGGCCCCTCTATAAACATGTACATCCTGAAGTCTACTCAACAGTCTTTTATCTACCAATACATAATCCATCAAACTACTGTCATTTCGCCCTACATCACATCTTGTATACTTATTTATCCTCTTTTTCTTAAAATATGTATTACCTATAACTAAACCCCTTTCTATACAAAGTTCAATCAAAGGGCTCCCATTATCATTTACACCTGGCACCCCAAACTTACCTACCACACCCTCTCTAAAAGTTTCTCCTACTTTAGCATTCAGGTCCCCTACCACAATTACTCTCTCACTTGGTTCAAAGGCTCCTATACGTTCACTTAACATCTCCCACAATCTCTCTCTCTCTCCTCTACATTCCTCTTTTCTCCAGGTGCATACACGCTTATTATGACCCACTTTTCGCGTCCAACCTTTACTTTAATCCACATAATTCTTGAATTTACACATACATATTCTCTTTTCTCCTTCCATAACTGATCCTTCAACATTACTGCTACCCCTTCCTTTGCTCTAACTCTCTCAGATACTCCAGATTTAATCCCATTTATTTCCCCCCACCGAAACTCCCCTAACCCCTTCAGCTTTGTTTCGCTTAGAGCCAGGACATCCAATTTCTTTTCATTCATAACATCAGCAATCATCTGTTTCTTGTCATCTGCACTACATCCACGCACATTCAAGCATCCCAGTTTTATAAAGTTTTTTTTCTTCTCTTTTTTAGTAAATGTCTACAGGAGAAGGGGTTACTAGCCCATTGCTCCCGGCATTTTAGTCGCCTCATACGACACGCATGGCTTACAGAGGAAAGATTCTTTTCCACTTCCCCATGGACAATAGAAGAAATAAAGAAGAACAAGAGCTATGTAGAAAAAGGAGAAAAACCTAGATGTATGTATATATATATGCATGTGCATGTCTGTGAAGTGTGACCAAAGTGTAAGTTGTAGCAGCAAGATATCCCTGTTATCTAGCGTGTTTATGAGACAGAAAAAGACACCAGCAATCCTACCATCATGCAAAACAGTTACAGGTTTCTGTTTCACAGTCATCTGGCAGGACGGTAGTACTTCCCTGGGTGGTTGCTGTCTACCAACCTACTACCTATAACATTTCTGTTATAGAATAGAAAACACAAGGGATTAGATACAGCACTGTGAAAAAAAGAAAGTACTATGATGGGATGGGAGTCTGAAAAGGATAAATTAGATAAGACCAAATTAGCACGTACATTACACCTAAAAATGTGAATATATTTATGTGTAAATGATCAATGTACAGAGACAACACCGATTTTCCAGCAGCCCTGGTTCCTAGGCTTGGCAAGGACTAACAGAGGTCATATAATAATAATTAAACAATACACCTCTGACCCACCATGGTCTGCTGGAAACTTAAACATTAGTATCAATGAAACAGGTTGATTATTACTATACTTAGAAAGCATGTTGCAGTACTATCACTATCAAAGTGGTAAATTTTAGAATTTTACTGGAACTGTACTGCTAATCACAAAGGTTATGAGCAAAATATGCTAAGAATTACATAAAATCAAGAGGTCACCACCAACAACTGGAGTGTAAATAATGTAAGTGACCACACACAGCACATACATTATCTGTGATTGCTCAGTACACCATTTTTTGGGAAAAAAAAAAATAGTCTCGTAATTACCCAGACTAAAAAGAGGTGCCAGATGATCCGTAGCCAGAAAATCGGTGTTGCACCTATATTCATGTACTGAGACAGTCAGCATTAAATGCCACTTACTGAAAATGTCAAGAGAATTAAAAAGGAAAGGTAAAATAAGGAGGTGCTGGTACTCAAGATATGTTGCACTGAGGAAAAAATAAAATTTACCTTTTGCCAGTAGTCCAAGGAAAATCTCATGAACCAGATTTCACATTCCTTATAATCAAACTTGTGAATAATTGTGACATTAGTATCGTTGTGCTTCAGTTCTGTCTGATTAAGAAGCCCAGGCTTCCAGCAAACAATAGTATTTTCACAACTCTGCAAATAGTCATAAAAATGTTATTAAAAAAGTTGCTCAATTTTTTATATTATAATTTTAACTCATTCACTGCTCATCATGTAGATCTAAGTTACTGACACCAGAGTCCCTTGCATGGAGCTCAGCTCATTCAGATCAGCTGCAAGCAGTAAATCTTGGCCCAGACATGAGAGAATGAGTGTGCAGTCAGTGCATATAGTATAAAAAAAAATCTTACCACATGCAATGCATGATGGGAAAAGCAAAACTCTGACATTGCATTTGGTTTAAAATAGCGACTTCGAGGTGTTTTCTAGGATGGCTTTTGTGGTTTTATTGGTTGTTTCTTGGTATCATCTGATAGAAGATATACAACTGAAATAGAGATGATTCTGGTTGGTTCCAGGACCAGAAAAAGCTTGAAAGTTCCCTCAAAATTTGCTTCATGCATTTTTACTAGGTCTGATTCAATTATTAACATGGCATAAACCATTACCAATCAATGAATTAAAAACAGAAGGGAAGTATAATATAGGAGAGACCTAGGGACCTGACTAATGAACACAGGAAATGTTTTAGTGCCTGGAATGTATGCATTCACAACCTATGCTTCACACCCATGAGTGCTGGTACCACTATACTCTCATATACAATATTACCATTTTTGCCTCAATGGATAACATTCCATCTCCACAGATGCCTCCATGCACCACCCATTTTTTTACCTTCATCAATTCTATGGTTCACCTCATCTTTTCATATATATTATGCACTTTAAATTTAAGTTTTCATTTCCAGCACACCCATTTCCATTAAGGCATGTAGGAGTGGAATTCATTTCCAATGATGGCGAACGTTTCTGTTAAGGAGCACCGTGGTAGGCAGACCTCTCACTATGTATCAGGCAAGTCCAATGTCTTAGCACTGTAGGAGAGGGTGTGAAGGAGGGTGATGGGATGTAAACAACCTCCCATGTTGTTGGCATCGATGTAACAGGACACGTACCAGACGAATTAAGGTAAGTGTACATTGCTCAATTTTTCCATCATCATCCCATCTCATCTCTGAATATTTATTATGATTTCCAAATGTAGTGAAAATAATGCTAGTGGAACAGGGAAGAACATTAACTGTCAAACTACAGTTGACCCTTCAACAACCCGGGTTTGAACTGTGTGGGGTCCACTTATACACGGATATTTTCAATAAATATTACGTACTGGAATTTTTTTTTTTAAAGATTTGCAACAATTTGAAAAACTCACAGACGAACCACGTAACCTAGAAACATGAAAAAAAAAAAAAAAAAAAAAAAAAAAAAAAGGAGAGAGAGAGAGAGAGAGAAAGTTAAGCATGTAAAAAGTGCATAAAATACAGTGGAACCTTGACTTACGAGTGTCCCAATGTACAAGTTACAAACCAAAATTTGACTTACAAGCCAGCTCCCCCCGCTTCCCCAGCAACGCAAAGCCTGGACACCTCGCTTGTTTATCTATGATTTCATGCTTTAATTCCATGGAAATCATACTCTTTTTCTTCTCAGCATTGTCCTTTACACTTACTTTCTTAGGACCCATGCTTAGAAAAATGAAATTTGGCCAAATGAAAATCAAAAATGTAAGCAAAGCATGAGAAAACTGCTCCCACAGTGAGGTAAACAGTGCACTGAGTTTGTGGAGTTCATTATTATAATAATAATAATTATTATTATTAATTATTATTATTAATTTGGGTAACTAGAGCACAAATCCAATTCCCTAGATCAAGAGCCCCTCAGTTCCCAAAATTAATAATAACAATAATACATAATACATACGTAATAATAATTCAGAATAACAAAAAAAGGCACAATACCGTGACTGGAACGATACACAAAATAACCCGCACATAGAAGAGAGGAGCTTATGACGACATTTAGGTCCAACTTGGACCATTTACAAAGTCATTTTGTAAATGTGTGACTTTGTAAATAGTCCAAGTCGGACTGAAACGTCGTCATAAGCTCCTCTCTTCTATGTGCAAGTTATTTGTGTAATAATTCAGAATGCTGCCGCTAGTTGGCACAGCTGATGCCAAAACATCTGGTAAGCAGTACACATGTTCACATCGCTCTAAGAGCAGTTCTCTCATGCTTGCTTGCATTTTTATTACAGTCATTTGGACAAATTTCTTTTTTCTAACCATGGTTCCTAAAAAAATAAGTGCAAAGAACAGTGCTGAGAAGAAAAAGATGATGATTTCCATGGACTTAGCCAGGCAATACCAGCTTAGTACATCTACGATATGTAGATACTAAAGCTGTATTAGTTATGTTCAGTGATTAAACAAAAACTGTATCAGTTACATTCAGCGATCAAACAAAGCAATGTTGTTGTTGGAGGTTTACAGGGCCACTAACATCATATGCCGCAGCCTCAACCTCCCCCATCCTCACTGCTCCAAGTGTTTAAGTACATATACACTTTATATGAACAGTTTAACATTTCTTTACATTCTGTAGTGTATTATGAATTATAATGTTTTTATATACAATATTTCTGCAATTAGCCTCACAAATATTCCATTTTCTCTTACAATATGAGCATGGAAAGATACAATAGTCAAAGTTAGACAGGAAGTGGCAGACACTTCTGCCGCTGCCTCTGCCACCGTATTATGGCCTATTTTATTCATTCTAGATTGTATATGTTTCTGTAATGATTATATTGTTTATTATGTCATATTAGATGAATTGTGATAGATATTTAAGCCATACAGTTGATATTAGTGTCATATTCAAGTATTCTGTCTTGTCTCCAGAGTGCAGGAATGGATTAATGGCTTTTCAATTAGTTTAATCGAGGAAAATTGATTTGATATATGAGTAAATTGAGTTACAAGCTAGGTCACGGAACGGATTAAACTTGTAAGTCAAGGTTCCACTGTATATGTAGATGCTAGTCTATCTTATCGTTTACTACCAAAAAATATACACACCTACAGTGGACCCTCCTTTTCGTCTTTAATTTATTTATTTATTTATTTATTTAATAATTTGAACATACATACAGAGGTACAAAAAAATACAGGTAAGAGCAGCATGCCAAAGCCACTTGTATGCATAGCATTATGGGCAGACTTAAAATTAACTTAAGATTAACTAAGCAATGATGTAATCAGTGATAAAACATTATTGTAAACAGATAACAATAAAGCACAAATGAGTATTACAAAGACAGGTCATATGGTTGCATGCATTGCTGTACATTCAGTAGAATGAAGTATTCTGTTACGTAGTGTATTTAAAAAAATAAAGTTAGATTGGGTCTTAGGTTTAACATTTATGTGATATAATTGTGAGAAGCATTTAAGATATACAATTTATAAGGTTCAGTTATTCAGTATTTATTTGGTTTTGTGTGAGTAAGTGATCTTTGAGAAGAGACTTGAATTTATAAACAGGTAGTGTTTCTTTTATATTTACAGGTAATGAATTCCAAATTTTAGGGCCTTTTATGTGCATTGAGTTTTTGCATAGCGTGAGATGGACACGAGGAACATCAAAGAGTGATCTGTGCCTTGTGTTATGGTCATGTGTTCTGTTGAGGTTGGCAAGGAGATGTTTGAGGGGAGGGTTAATATCAGAGTTAAGTGTTCTATGTATGTAATAGGTGCAGTAATAAGTATGGATGTTTTGTATGGTGAGTAGGTTTAGTGTTTTGAATATTGGTGGAGTGTGCTGCCTGTAGTGGGAATTTGTTATCATTCTGACTGCAGCCTTTTGTTGGGTAATTAGTGGTCTGAGATGGTTACTTGTTGTTGAGCCCCATGCACAAATTCCACAGGTGAGATAGGGGTAAATAAGAGAGTGATATAAGGCCAGGGAGTCCAGAGAGTCCAGTGAAATGTGAAATCGACTAAAACTGAAACCATTTTCCCCATAAGAAATAATATAAATCCAATTAATCTGCTTCAGACATCCAAAGTATTAACAAAAAATACATTTTATAGAGAAGAACTATATTCCACAGCTTATTTATCACATTTCATCTAATATGACATAAACAATATCAATAACATACAAAATATATTATATACTCTAGAATGAATGAATAAAATATGTCATTACGTATGTGAGGAGTAAGTGGTGGTGATGATGTTGCTGGGTTTATAAGGGCCACTGAGAGAAGCCATACACATTAGTGCTAGTGTAGGCAGCAGCAGAAGCCTCAAATAAATAACAAAAAGGCACAATACTGTGACTGGAACGATACACAAATAACCCGCACATAAAAGAGAGAAGCTTACGACGACGTTTCGGTCCGACTTGGACCATTGACAAAGTCACACTAGCAGAAGCAGCAAAAAAGCAGATAGAATGAAGCAGAAGAAGAAAAAAGCAGAAGAAGAAGAAAGAAGCAGAAGAAGCGAAGGAAGAAGAAGAAGAAGCAGAAGAAGAAGAAGAAGAGCAGAAGAAGAAGAAGAAGAAGCAGAAGAAGAAGAAGAAGAAGGCAGAAGAAGAAGAAAAGAAGAAGAAGAAGGAAGCAGAAGAAGCAGAAGAAGAAGAAAAGAAGCAAAGAAGAAGAAGAAGAAGCAGAAAAGAAGAAGAAGAAGCAGAAGAAGAAGAAGAAGAAGCAGAAGAAGAAGAAGAAGAAGCAGAAGAAGAAGCAGAAGAAGCAGAAGAAGCAGAAGAAGCAGAAGAAGAAGCAGAAGAAGAAGAAGCAGAAGAAGAAGAAGCAGAAGAAGAAGAAGCAGAAGAAGCAGAAGCAGAAGAAGCAGAAGCAGAAGAAGCAGAAGAAGCAGAAGAAGCAGAAGAAGAAGAAGAAGAAGAAGAAGAAGAAGAAGCAGAAGCAGCAGCAGCAGCAGCAGCAGCAGCAGCAGCAGCAGCAGCCAGCACAGCAGCAGCAGCAGCAGCAGCAGCAGCACAGCAGCAGCAGCAGCAGCAGCAGCAGCAGCAGCAGCAGCAGCAGCAGCAGCAGCAGCAGCAGCACAGCAGCAGCAGCAGCAGCAGGCAGCAGCAGCAGCAGCCAGCAGCAGCAGC